ATATTCTGTTATTTTTGGGGTGAAGAGCTCTGCAGGTGTCTGTTAGATCTATTTGGTCAATTGTCAAGTTCAAGTCTTGAGTATCTGTTAGTTTTCTGCCTGGATGATCTGTCTAATACTGTCAGTGGGATGTCAAAGTCTCCCACTATTATTATGTAGTTATCTAAGTATGTCTCTTTGTAGTTCTCTAAGAACATGTTTTATGAATCTGGGTTCTTCTGTGTTGGTTTCATATATATTTAGAATACTTATTTTTTCTTGTTGAATTGAACCCTTTACCAATTTATAATGTCTTTCTTCATCTTTTTTGATCATTGTTGGTTGAAAGTCTATTTTGTCTGAAATTAGAATAGTAAGCCCTGATTTTTTTTCTCTCTTTTCAATTTGCTTGGTAAATTTTTCTCAATAGCTGTACTTTGAGCCAATGGGGGTCATTGCTTGTGAGATGGGTCTTCTGAAGGCAGCATGTAGTTGGGTCTTTCTCCTTTACCCAACTTTCCAGTTTGTGCCTTTTAATGGGGAGGGGATTAGTCTGTTTACATTCAGTTTAATATTGATATGTTTGTATTTGATCCTGTCATCATGTTGTTAGCTGGTTATTATGCAGACTTGATTGTATAGTTGGTTTATAGTGTCAGTGGCCTATGTACTCATTTGTGCTTTTGGTGGCTGATAATGGTCTTTCCACATTTAACACACCCTTCAGGACTTCTTCTAAGTCAGGTCTGGTGGTAACAAATTCCGTTAACATTTGTTTTTCAGGAAATGGTCTTATTTATCATTCACTTATGAAGTCTGGTTTGGCTGGATAATAAATTCTTGGTTGGAAATTATTTTCTTTAAGAATTACAAATATAAGCCCCCATATTTTTATGGTTTATAGGGTTTGTGCTAAAAGGTCTGCTGTTATCGTGATGGGTTTATGTGTGTGTGTGTGTGTATACACACACACACACACACACACACACACACACACACACACACATATATAGTCTTTTGTCTTTAGCTGCCTTTAACATTTTTCTCTGTCATTCCAACCTTAGAGAATCTCACAATTATGTATTGTGGGGGTGGTTGTCTTGTACAATATCTCACAGAGGTCTCTGCATTTCCTAAATTTAAATGTTGGTCTGCTAGTGAGGTTGGAGAAATTTACATGGATGGCATCTTCAAATATGTTTTCCAAATTACTTACTTTCACTTTCTTTACTTCAGGAACACCAATGAGTCATAAAATTGCTCTCTTTACTAATGCCATATTTCTGATAAGCTTTTTTTATTCTTCTTTTTTTTTTAATTTTTGACTGACTGAGTTACTTCAGAGAACCAGTCTTTGAGCTCTGAGATTCTTTTCTCAGCTTGTTCTGTTCTACTGTTAGTACTTGAAATTATGTTATAAAATTCTTGAAGTGGCTTTTTTAGCTATATCAGATCAGCTTGATTCTTTCTAAAATGGCCATTTTGTTTTCCACCTCCTGTATCATTTTGTATTCCTGAGATTTCTTTCATTGGGTTTGACTTTGTCTCAGGTCTCAATGATTTCTATTCCCATCCATATTCTGAATTTTATGTCTGTCATTTCAATAATTTTGGCCTGATTAAGAACCATAACTGAAGAACTAGTATAGTCATTTTGCACTAAGAAAACACTCTGGTTCTTAGAGTTGCCAGAGTTCTTGTGCAACTTTCTCATCTGTGTGGCCTGATGTTTCTTCAATCTTTAAAGTTGCTGTCCTTTAGATGGGGTTGCTTGCATTTATTATCTTCGATTGCCTTAGGGATTCAATTGTTGTATAAGGTATGTTCTGTGAATGGGCTTTATTTCTGGAATATTTTAGGCGGTCAGGCCTCAGCTCAGCACAACTGGAGTGTGTGACCTTACTCTAGGGGCCAAGTCCTGAGCCTACTTCTTTTTTCTTTGCCGATCTTAATTAGGAACCTGCTGTGCTTTAGGGGCCAAGGTGTTCTTAGTCCACTAGCCATAACACTCCAGTTGATAGTGCCAGCCCAGCTACTTCATGAGGGCTCTGGCAGTGGGATCTGTGCCTGCTCATGTGTGTCAGTAGCCCATTGCAGCATGGCAGGGTGCATGCACTTTGTCTGGGGAGGGGAACTGGCTGGGGCATTGTGGTACTACTATAGTTACACTCACACCACAGTAGTAGTGGTGGGGCACTGGAGGGTGCACAGTTGCCAATGCCCTGTGCATGTGTTTGCACTGGTGATGGTAGCAGAGTAGTGGAAGCATAGTTGCTGGTGCTTCTGTGTGCAATCTCACTGGCTGCAGCAGTGGTCCAGCATGAGCAGTGTTGCTGGTGTCCATGCATACATTGGCATTTGTGGTTGCTTTGCAGTGGGGTGCTCATGCATCCATTGTTAGGGGATGGCAACTGTGGCACAACATAGCATATTCTATGAGTGACCACATGTTTGGTCATAAAGCAAATCTCAATAAATTCAAAAATGAATATCTCTTGTACCACAGTGATTAAAATAGAAATAAATATCAAGAACATGAAATGCCAGATGTAGGTGATGGGGAGGAAGGCAGCAAATCACACTGCCACGTGTGTTCCTATGCAACAATTTTGCATGTTCTTCACATGTACCCCAAAATGTAAAATGCAATAAAATAAATAAATGGGAAAAAAAAAAAAGAACATCTTTCAGAGCAATTAACATATATCAGTATTAAACAACTTGTTCCTGAGTAACCCCTGGGTGAACATCAAAATTAAGGCAGAAATTTTAAAAAAAATGAAACTAATGAAAATGGGAGCACAACTTATTAACACCTCTGGGATACAGCTGAAACAGTGTTAAGAGGATAATGTTTACCACTAAACACCTTCATCAAGAAGTTAGAAAGATCTCAAATTAGCAATCTAATTTTGCATTTAAAGGAACATTATTGGTCAAGTGCATTGGCTCACACCTGTAATCTCAGCACTTTGTGAGGCTGAGGCAGGTGGATCACCTGAGGTCAGGAGTTTGAGACCAGCTTAGCCAACATGGTGAAAACCCATCTCTAATAATACACAAAAATTACCCAGACATAGTGGCAGGCAACTGTAATCTCAGCTCCTTGGATGACTATGGCAGGAGAATTGTTTGAACCCAGGAGGTGGAGGTTGCAGTGAGCCAAGATCATGCAATTGCACTCCAGCCTGGACAACAAGAGCAAAACTCTGTCTCAAAAAATAAAAATTAAAAAAAAAAAAAGAATGTCACCAAAAAGGAACAAAACAATCTCCCATCTAGCAGAAGAAAATAAATAAAATTAGAGAAGTTAATGAAACTAGGAAGCAAAAATCTCTACAAAACATCAATAAAACCAATAGTTGGTTCCTCAAAAAATACAATTAATCGACTGCTAACTAGCTTAACAAAGAAAAAAGAGAAAATCCAAATAAGTACAATAAGAAATTACAAATATGACATTACAACTGATCACACAGAAATACAGAAGATCCTCAGAGGATACTATGCACAACTTTATGCAAACAAATTAGAAATTCTAGAGAAAATGATTAAATTCCTGGAAACACGCTACCTCCTAACTTTGAGTCAGAAAGAGATTAAAACCATGAATAGACTAATACTGAGCTCTGAAATTGAATAAGGGGAAAAAAAAAAAAAAAAAAAAAACCTACCAACCAAAAAGAAGCCCTGGACTAGAGGGATTCATAGTCAAATTCTACCAGATGTGTAAAGCAGAACAAACACCAACGATACTGAAAGTATTCCAAAATATTGAGGAGGATGGACTCCTCCTTAACTCATTCTAAGAAGCAGGTATCAGCCTAATTCCAAAACCTGGCAGAAACATGACAAAGAAAGAAAACTTCAAGCCAATATCCTTGATGAACACAGATGAAAAAAAACTCAACAAAATATTAGGAAACTGAATACAACAGCACATCAAAAAGTTAATTCACTACGATCAGGTAAGTTTTGTTCCTGAGATGCAAGTTTATTTCAACATGTGCAAATAAATAGATATGATTCATCACATAAAGAGAACTACAAGTAATAACCATATGACCATCTCAATAGGCATGGGAAAGGCTTTTGAAAAAATTCAACATCACTTTATGTTCAAAAAAAAAAAAAAGACTTCAACAAACTAGGCGTCAAAGGAACATACCTCAAAATAATAGAAGCCATCTATGTCAAACCCACAGCTAACATCATGTTGAATGGACAAAAGCTGGAAGATTTCCCCTTGAAAACAGGAACAAGACAAAGATGTCTATTCTCACAACTTCTGTTCAACATAGTTCTAGAAGTTCTAATAAGAGCAGTTAGGCAAAAGAAAGAAATAAAATGCATCCAACCAGTAAAAGAGACAGTCAAACTATTTCTCTTGGGAGTTTATTACATCCTATACCTAAAAAATCTTATAGTCTGCCCCAAACCTACTCAATCTGATAAACTACTTCAGCAAAATTTTAGGTTAAGAATCAATGTACAAAATCAGTGAAATTTGTATGCACCAATAACTTCCAACCTGAAAACCAAATCAAGAATGCAATCCCATTTACAATAAAACCTAATACCATAAAAACCCTAGAAGAAAACCTAGGCAATATCATTCAGGACATAGGCATGGGCAAGGACTTCATGACTAAAAACCAAAAGCCAGAATAGACAAATGGGATCTAATTAAACTAAAAAGCTTCTGCACAGCAAAATAAACTATCATTAGAGTGAACCAGCAACCAACAGAATGGGAAAAAAATCTTTGCAATCTACCCATCTGACAAAGGGCTAATATCTAATATTGAGAATCTACAAGAACTTAAACAAATTTACAAAACAAACAACCCCATCAAAAAGTGGGCAAATAATATGAACAGACACTTCTCAAAAAAAAGACATTTATGCAGCCAACAAACATATGAAAAAAAAGCTCATCATTACTGGTCATTAGAGAAATGCAAATCAAAACCACATTGAGATACCATCATACGCCAGTTAGAATTGCAGGAGAGAACAGATGTTGGAGAGGATGTGGAGAAACAGGTACGCTTTTACATTGTTGGTGGGAGTGTAAATTAGTTCAACCATTGTGGAAGACAGTATAGCGATTCCTCAAGAATCTAAAAATAGAAATATCATTTGACCCAGCAATCCTATTACTGGGTATACGCAGAAAGGATTAGAAATTGTTCCATTATAAAGACACATGCACACGTATGTTTATTGTGGCACTGTTTACAATAGCAAAGACTTGGAATCAACCCAAATGACCATCAGTGATAGACTGAATAAAGAAAATGTGCCACATACACACCATGGAATACTACTGTGCAGCCATAAAAAAGTATGAGATCATGTTCTTTGCAGGGGCATGGATAAAGCTAGAAACCATCATTCTCAGCAAACTGACACAAGAACAGAAAACCAAACACTGTATGTTATCACTCATAAGTAGGTGTTGAACAATGAGAACACATGGACACAGGGAAGGAACATCACACATTGGGGCTTGTCAGGGCTGGTATTCTAAGGGAGAGATAGCAGGGGGTGGGGGATTGGGGAGGAATAATATTAGGAGAAATGCCTAATGTAGATGATGGGAGTATAGATGCAGCAAACCACCATGGCACGTGGATACCTATGTAACAAACCTGCAGGTTCTGCACATGTACCCCAGAACTTAAGGTATAATAAATAAATGAGATTTCAGATGACTAACAAAAAAAATTGTTTAATAAGACTGTTAACTGGCTATCTGTATGTTTAAAAAGAAACTTTTTACAGCACTTTACACACAAAACAAATTCCAAGTGGAACAAAAAAAAATTAATACCTAAACTTGGAAAGCAACGTGTATAAAATCTTTAAAATACAATGGAAGATAATGTTTATATTTTGTACTCTGTAAATGAGGAAGATTACAAAAGCATAGAATGCACAGGTACTTAGTAAAGGAAATTTTGATAAGTTTGATTAAATTACAACATACCATCCCCTACTTGCAAAAATTACCCTATACAAAGTGGGGAAAAATAAGACTTGGCTATCAAATTGGATGACTAAAATAAATGAAATAAACCATAATATATTCTAAGAAGAAACAGACAACCCATGGAAATTGGGCAAAAAAATGCAACCAGGTGATTTATAAAATAAGAGACCACACTGTCAATAAAAATACATATTCTTAATCTGATCCTTATTACTTTACTATCTTTTCCATAACATATATCATCTTTTAACATACTGTGTAATTTACTTAGTTAATAAGTTTGCTGTACTTACTCTTGCCAGAATGTAATCTCTATAAGTATGTGATTTCTTCATCTTTATGTTCTTCAATGTATCCCAAGTACTTACAAGTGTACCTGGCACATAGTAAATACTTAATGAGTATTTCTTGACTTTATGGTTCTTACCAGTAATCAGAAAAATGGAAACTAAAATGACATATGCTTTTATACACGTTAGATCATTATGTACATATCAGGTCAAACATGTATGAAATTTGAAAACGTGTTGACAAGTTAAACAAACAGGGTATTCTATACAGTGTTGGTGGGAATTTAAGTTGGAACAAGTTTTGCTATTATCTAGTGAGTTCGAAGATGGCATATCACCAGCAACTTTATACAGTCATGTGTCACTTAACACTGAAGATATTTCTGGTAAATGCATTGTTAGGAAATTTTGTAGTGGCGTGGACATGATAGAGTGTACTTTGACAAACCTAGGTGGTATATCTTACTACACAACTGGTATATTTGGTATAGACTATTGCTCCTAGGCTACAAACCTTAACAGCATGTTACTGTGCTGAATACTGTAGGCAGTTGGAATGCAATGGTAAGTGCTTGTGTATCTAAACAAATCTAAATCCAGAAAAGGTACAGAAAAAGTACAATATAAAAGATTAAAAATGTTACACCCATATAGGGCACTTGCCATGAATGGCACTTACAGGACTGAAAGTTGTTCTAGGTGATTCAGTGAGTGAGTGGTCAGTGAATGTGAAAACTTAGGGAATTAATTACTGTATATTACTATAGACTTTATAAACACTGTATGCTTATGCTATGCTAAATTCATTAAAAGTAAAGTATGCTATAACTTTTGTTTTATAATTTTGGCTACAGTGTCAGCAGCTTCATTATAATCTTATGGAAACAGCATTATACATATCATTTGTCATTGACCAAGACATTGTTATGTGGTGCATAAGTATATTGTTGAAAGGAAAGTTCCACATGAGCTTTTCACGCAAGTAAATCACTGTCTACCCTTGGTTTTAGGCTGTCTTTTAAAAGATGCTTAAATAGCAAAAGCTTTGAAACAGTGTCTCTCTCTGAAGTAAAAAGCATGTTTCGATAGTGCCTTTGAAAAACAGAGTGCTTCCCTTTGAAGCAAAGGGAAAGAATGCTTACTCTAGTATGATAAGGAGAATTTCTTTTTCCAGAGTAAAGGGAAGGCATAGCTACCATACATTATAAATAATTGAGTTTCCTCAGTTTTACTCCTGTAATGCATAGTACTATGTATATTGGAGTCAAATGGTCATTTTGTATACCACTGTAGGAAGTGGGGCTTAGAAATCTAAGGTAAAAATGCTTATATTCAGGCTGTTCCTATTGCTATTAATAATAAACAGCCCCTTGTCTCTGACCCAAGAGTCTCGTGCCTTCTATCAGAACTCTCAGAGAATTGTGACAGGTTACCTTGTTAGCTTACAAGTAAGGCAAAATCTCATAATCTTTACAGTTTTTGATAATTATAGCAATGTTAGAATCCACTCGTTATGGTGCGATTGAGGTCTCTTAGAAATAAGACTGGGATGCTAACAGATGTGGCTTTCCATAAGAGAAATAATGAGGACCTTGCCAGCCAATTAATGAAATTTATTCATAACTTTATGAAAATTGGTATGTACAGATCATTATGTATAATCAACTATGCAATAAAATTTCCCTCCCCCTATTAATGGGGACGAACTGGGGAAGTGGGTTACAGGATGAGGGCTGAGGACTTCTGTCCCCAGTGAGGATCAAAGGCAATTATACACCTGTGTGAATAAGGTGGAAGGTTTTGGCAAAAGGAGAAAACTAAACTTTTATGGACCTTTTGAATATGGTTGCCCTAGTCACTAGTCTACCTGAACCTATGGAAGGAAGTGGCATCCAGAATCAGTTGATGGCATTTGTACTGGGTTTACAATCAGGAAAGGAAGGTAATATGACTTTGTAAATGAAACCTTTTGGGCCAATTTTGTACACTCTTGATGTTACCTCTACATCTGAATATACACTAGGAACTAAAGCTTGTATTTTTGTGCCACAAAGTGCCAAATGTGGTTCAGCCACATGTAGACAAGTGTTAATAGGACACAAAAATTGCCCTCCCACAAACCTCTCTGTCCCCTTCAGGGAGGAAAAAAGAAAATCACAGTTCAGATTAATGACTTAAAGGAGGCACAGTTAGTAAAAGATATAAAATCTCTATATAGAACCACCATTTCCAGAAGTCCAAGGTGAAGACTTATAGCATATTATTGTCAAATAAATTTTGGGGTTTCTCCTGTAGTTCTAACTCTTATAGATATCATGACTAACTGGATTCATTACATAGACTGATGACACGTGATATACTGTTTTGAACATTGCCAACTTCTTTCCCATCAACTAGCAACTGAGAATCATGATTTGTTCAAATTTATGTGATAAAGCCTCCAATATATGTTTATGGTACTTTAGGATTAACTAAACACCACTATGATTTGCCAGAATTGAATAGGTTAGAATGAGGAGAGACGTAATTACTCTACTGCCTGTTGCTTGCTGGGGAAGGGAGTAAAAGATAAAATAGTAAAAAGCTCAAGTCAGCAGTGAGGTGACTAGCTGACTCCACTGGCTCTGCCCCAGCAGGGCCTGAGAGTTAAAAAGATAACTCCCCCTTCCGGAACTGGTGCCTATGTTATCTGTAAACCTTGAGAATGTAACAAAGGATTGTTCTTCCTGCTGCCCAAGAACCTGTCCCTAGTCACGTACTCCATGTTTGCACAATCCACTCCCCACTTTAAGTTAAATCTGTTACAGAATGATTAACTCCCTTTGTTCAACTTCTCCAAGTTTGCTGTAACCCTTCCCCTTTCCTCCTTCCTGCACACACCAAATATGAATTAGTGAATCAATGAAAGGCAAAGACTGTAAGGTCAGATGCCCCAGCCAATGCGCTATAACACAGTTTCAACTCCGCTCCCCCTTTATAGCTATAAGCCCATAAAAGGGAAAAGGAACTGCTCTTTGGGGAGCTCAGTTCTTGAGAAGCAAGTCTGTCAAGGCTCCATGGCTGAATAAAGTCACTTCTTTCCTCACTCCGGTGTCTGAGAGGTTTTGTCTGTGGCTCATCCTGCAACAAAAATTTAGTGCAAGTATTTCTACACTTGGCTTTTCAAAATTTTTACTATATACATATCCTGATGGTTAGCAATCAGAAGCCTCAAGCTCCATAGCATTGGCTATGATATTATCACATATCCCCCAGAAGGGATGACTGAAAATCTCCAATAAAATTTAGCAGGCTGCTTGCCAAATACTCAATCCTCAGGTAAATAAAGAAAAATTGTTTTCACTTCAACATCTCTAACAAAAAAAAAAAAAAAAATACCTAACATCTAACTGGACCTTTTGGATACTGGAAACAGTTTCCGATTGCTTGGGCATTCTGCTTTGTCATTTATATTAGATACCCACAAACCATATATTTTTAGTTGGACCAAAAAGAACAGTGTGTGATGAAAACTATTAAGAAAGCTGTGTTATGCACTTTACCTTTGGGGTCCCACGATCATAACGACCCTATTTTTAGTATAATTATTTTAATTGACAAATAATAATTTTATATATTTATGGAGTTAAATATGATTTTTTATATATGTTTGCCTTGTGGAATGATTAAATTAAGCTGATTAACAAATCCATTGCATCACACATTTGCTATTGTAAAAACATTTAATATCTACCCTGTAGCAATTTTGAAATACATAATACATAATCCTTTGATCTATAAGCCTCTATGGCTGATGACTCTGCAATAGGACCCTTTGGGAAAATGTAGAACACTAACATTAACAAAAGTTTTAACAACATTCAACACAATATTTTTTAAATATAAAATTATATTAAAAATATAGATATAAAATTATATTAAAAACTTAATATGTACATGTAAATAAAAAATTATCAAACTCTGGAAAATGGTTACCGTTAGAGAAGGGCAAAGCAGAAAGTCATTGGAGAAAGATACAAAGGCCACTTCATGCGTAATAGCTTAAGTTATGTCATCTTTCTTTTTAAAACTAAAAGATATGAACAAAATTCACGTTTAGGATTTGGCAATATTAAGTGGAGGATGTATATATTCATCATATTATTCTCTATAATTTCCTATGTGTTTGAAACACTTCATAGTAATTTTTAACTTACTGTTTTACATTCCTAACTAAATTATGCATCTTTATATTACTTTAGCAACGCCTAGCTTTCTCCCAAGAAAGCTGACTAATTATTTGTGAGACTAAGGTGCCATTCCGGTGGCCTTCCTAAAATGGCAAAACATAATTAAAGTGATTTCCACTCTGAGAATTTTTATCTACTTTTAAATTAAACTCTATGGCAAAAGAAAAATAAAAAAGAGAGCAAAACAGTTTCTGCACCTTATATTTTATAATAGCGTTAGAAAATGAGATCAAAGATTAAATATTAATAATTTGCTCATGATATAACTAGTCAATGTGAGGGAGGATGTCTATATTTTTGTGTGTAAATTGAATCCAGAGCTATTTGACAAAAAAACACTTGGTTTTCTTTTCCAGAGATTGCTAATTGCTTATGCAACAGTCATTTCAGTTTTTCTTAATAATCCTTATTTTGTTTGAGGAGATAATCTATTCAGTTTAAAGAGTCTATTATTCATCATTAATTTTGGCTTGAGATAACCTTATAACAGAGTTTGGACCAAATATATGTAAATAGAAATAGGATGTAAATAGAAATCATTAAGTAGTAATACCAGAAAGGCTGCCAGGTCCCCTTATGCTTTCTGAAATGCTAGGTCTCAAATGCAAGGCCTCTATGACCTTAGATTTGAAATCCTTGATCTGCCAAATTAATGCCAGAAACTCTCTACTTTTACACTTTTCATTATGTAAGAAAATCAGCAATGATTGGACCTAACTTTCACTGGCTTGAGATAGAGTTAATTATGCCCATTGTTTCCCATCTCTGTGTTTAGTCACTTCACATTAGTAGCTTGAAATCAGCCATAACGGTAGTAATTATATCATAGAAATCAGCAAATGCCACAAGTCAGAACTTCACCAAGTCATTCCTGCCACCCCCAAGAGCTAGTTATAAAACATTACCAACACACCACACCACTGAATACAACACTTTAAAAATCTTTAAGTTTCTTTGAGAAGTCTCTGAGATTCACAGCGGAAAGCTGAGAAGATTCAGAAAAAAAAGTGAACTTTAATTTTATTGATGTTTTAATCTCCATCAGAAGAGAAAAATTACATTATGACATGTTTATTTCTTGGTGGAAAACAGATTATTAGAGGTGTTTCAAATTATTCATATTTATGGTGTTTTCTATTGCATCTGGGCTTTGGTTTACTCATCAGATCCTATCAAAATAATAATAAAGTAGAAATCTTCTCCAGTAAAATCTGGGCTTAAAGTCAGTAACTTAGAAAAATCAATTAAAGCAGTAAATCATTTCTAAACATAATTTTAATATTTTAATTTTATTGAAAACATATGCATGTATATGATTTTACAAATCATTTTCATGTAACACCAAGGGCTTTCTTGAATGTTAGTCGCCTGATGGAATTTATCTTTGTCTGTCTTGCTTAATGAAACAAAACCAATATTTATTAACCATGGTTTTCAGATACTTTTGTGGAAGAAGAGGCTGTCAGTGACTGCACCACTTTCACTTGAAATCCAGAAAAGAAAATATTTTTTAGAGAATGGATTTAAAATTAATTGTAAAGCAAATAGTGCACAATTTTCGCAGGATCCTTTTTCCTCAAACTTTTTTATTTATCTTATTCTCACTTAGTTAAACAGCATATTTTGAGAGGCTGAGGCAGGTAGATCTCCTGAGGTCAGGAGTTCACGACCAACCTGGTCAACATGGTGAAATCCTGTCTTTACTAAAATTATAAAAATTAGCCAGGGACTGTGGCATATGCCTGTAGTCCTAGCTATTTGGGAGACTGAAGCAGAAGAACCGCTTGAACCCAGGAGGTGGAGGTTGCAGTGAGATAAGATGGCATCACTGCAATCCAGCAGGGGTGACAGAATAAGACTCTGTCTCAAAATCAAACAAAAAAACAAAAATGAATATATAACCTCAACTTTAAGCAACATCAAGTCCTGTACTTCTTAATAATGATTGAAGATTTCTGTCATTTATTGAATGTTTCCAAAGAAACTTCTAAGGCTTACTTACAAGTACAGGGAGAACACTTGCCTGAAAAGGAGCAGTAATTACAGAAAAGGTATGGTCTATAAATAGAATGAGAGTGAGATAAATGTAATATTCTTAATCCTGGTTAAGCCATAAACCACCCATACTTGAAGCCAGCCATGCACCTTATATTTTCACATGTGAAGCTAATAAATTACCACTTTTCTTACAGAAATTTTAGTTGAAATTTCTATCACTTACAAATAATATACTTAGCTTTAAAGGTATGTGCATGTCCCATATTATGACGTATTATATTCTTAATTTAATCATTTTCAAGTTTGCTGCTGCTGCTGAATTTTTTTAATTTTTTCATTAATGTAATAGCTATTTAAGAGTTTTACTGAGCTGGCAAGATGACCAAATAGGAACAGCTCTGGTCTGCAGCTCCCAGCAAGATCAATACAGAAGGCGGGTGATTTCTGCATTTCCAACTGAGGTACCCGGCTCATCTCATTTGAACTGGTTAGACAGAGGATGCAGCCCACAGAGAAGGAGCAGAAGCCAGGTGGGGTGTTGCCTCATCTGGAAAGCGCAAGGGCTAAGGGAACTCCCTCCGCTAGCCAAGGGAATTCCTGAGGGACTGTGCCATAAGTGATGCTACTATCCGACCCAGATACTATGCTTTTCCCATGGTCTTTGCAACTCACAGACAAGGAGATTACTTCAGGTGCCTACACCACCAGGGCCTTGCGTTTCAAGCACAAAACTGGGAGGTCATTTTGGCAGACACCAAGCTAGCTACGGGGCTTTTTTTTTTTTTTTTTTTCACATCCCAGTTGCCACTTGCTGGAATACCAGTGAGACAGAACCATTTACTCCACTGGAAAGGGAGCTGTAGCCAGGCAGCCACGCGGTCTAGCTAAGCAGATCCCACCCACATGGGGCCAAGCAAACTAAGATACACTGGCTTGAAATTCTAGCTGCCAGCACTGCAGTCTGAAGTCGACATGGGACTCTCAAGCTTGGTGGGGAGAGGGGCGTCCACCAATACTGAGTCTTGACTAGGCTTATTTCCCCTCACAGTGTAAACAAAGTTGCCAGGAAGTTCAAACTCTGTGGAATTCACTGCAGCTCACCTAATCCGCCATGGGCAGACTGCCTTTCTAGAGTTTCCTCTCTGGGCAGGGCATCTCTGAAAGAAATGCAGCTGCCCCAGTGACGGTGTTTGTTTGTTTGTTTGTTTGTTTGTTTGTTTGTTTGAGAAGGAGTTTCACTCTTGTTGCCCAGGCTGGAGCACAATGCCGTGATCTCAGCTCACCACAAACTTCATCTCCCAGATTCAAGTAATTCACCTGCCTCAGCCTCCAAAGTAGCTGGGATTACAGGCATGCACCACAACACCCAACTAACTTTGTATTTCTAGTAAAGATGGGGTTTCTCCATCTTGGTCAGGCTAGTCTGGAATTCCTGACCTCAGATAATTCACCCCGCTTGGCCACCTAAAGTATTGAGATTACAGGCATGAGCCACCAAACCTGGCCTCCAGGCAGGGATTTATAGATAAAACTTCCATCTCCCTGGGACAGAGCACTTGGAGGAAGGGGTGGCTGTGGGTGCAGCTTCAGAAGACTTAAACATTTCTGCCCTGCCCAATCTGAAGACAGCAGATCTCCCAGCAGAGCACTCTAACTCTGCAAAGGGACAGACTGCCTCCTCAAGTGGGTTCCTGACCCCTGTGCCTCCTGACTGGGAGACATCTCCCAGCATTGGTCAACAGACACCTCATACAGGAGAGCTCTGACTGGCATCTGGTGGGTGACTCTTGGGACAAAGCTTCCAGAGGAAGGAGCAGGCAGAAATTGTTGCTGTTCTGCAGCCTCTGTTGGTAATACCCAGGCAAAAAGATTCTGGGGTAGACTCCAGCAAAATCCATTAGAAAAACAAAACTAACAAACAAAAAGCAAAAAAAATCAACATCAAAAAAAAAAAAAATCTCCCCAACAAAAACCCCATCAAAAGGTCACCAAAATCAAAAATCAAAGGTAGGTACATCCACAAAGATGAGGAAAAATGGCACAAAAAGGCTGAAAATTCCAGAAACCAGAATGCCTCCTCTCCACCAAAGTATAACAACTTCTCATCATTGAGAGAAAACTGGACAAAGAATGAGTTTGACAAATCAACAAAAGTAGGCTTCAGAAGAGTAATAACAAACTTTTCTGAGCTAAAGGAGCATGTTCTAATCTAATGCAAGGAAGCTAAGAATCTTGATAATAAGTAACAGGAACTGCTGACTAGAATAATAAGTTTAGAGAAGAACATAAATGACCTGATCAAGCTGAAAAACACAGCATGAGAACTTCATAAAGTATGCACAAGTATAAATAGCTGAATCAATCAAGTGGATGAAAGGATATCAGAGATTGAAAATCAACATAGTGAAAGAAAGCAAGAAGACAAGATTAGAGAAAAAAAAATTGAAAGGAACAAAGGCTCCAAGAAATATGGGACTACATAAAAAGATCAAAGCTATGTTTGATGGGTGTACCTGAAAGTCACTGGGAGAATGGAAGCCCAACTTAGCCAGGTAGACCAACAATCAAATTCATGAAATACAGAGAACACCACAGAGATAATCCTCAAGAAGAGCAACCCCAAGACACATAATCATCAGATTCACCGAGGTTGAAATGAAGGAAAAAATATTAAGGGCACCCAGAGAGAAAGGTCAAGTTACCCACAAAAGGAAACTTACTGGATTAACAGTGAATTTCTCTTTGAAAACCCCACAGGCCAGGAGAGACTGGGGGCCAATATTCAACATTCTTAAAGAAAAGAATTTTCAGCCCAGAATTTCAGATCCAGCCAAACTAAGCTTCACAATGGAAGGAAAAATAAAATTCTTTCCAGACAAGCAAATGCTGAGGAATTTTGTTACCACCAGGCTTGCCTTAAAAGAGCTAATGAAGGAGACACTAAATATGGAAAGGTACCAGCCACTGCAAAAACAAACCAAATTGTAAAGACCGTTGACACTATGAAGAAACTGCATTAACTCTTTAGAATGGTTATCATTAAAAAATCTGGAGACGACAGATGCTGGAGAGGATGTGAAGAAATAGGAACACTTTTGCACTGTTGGTGGGAGTGTAAATTAGTTCAACCATTGTGGAAGACAGTGTGGCAATTCCTCAAGGACCTAGACATAGAAATTCCATTTGACCCAGCAGTCCCATTACTGGGTATATATTCAAAGGATTGTAAATCATTCTATTATAAGGACACATGCACACGAATGTTCATTGCAACACAGTTTACAATAGCAAAGACCTAGAACCAACCCAAATGCCCATCGATGATAGACTGGACAGGGGAAATCTGGCACATATACACCATGGAATACTATGCAGCCATCAAAAACGATGAGTTCACGTCCTTTGTAGGGACATGGATGAACCTGGAAACCATCATTCTCAGCAAACTGACACAAGAACAGAAAATCAAACACTGCATGTTCTCACTCATAAGTGGGTGTTGAACAATGAGAACACATGGACGCAGGGAGGGAAGCATCACACACTGGGTCTTTTGGGGGGAAATAGGAGAGGGACAACAGGGGGTGGGGATTTGGGGAGAAATAGCATGGGGAGAAATGCCAGATATAGGTGATAGGGAGGAAGGCAGAAAACCACACTGTCATGTGTGTACCTATGCAACAATCTTGCATGTTCTTCACATGTACCCTGAAGCCTAAGATGCAATAAAAAAAATAAAATTAAAAAAATTTTAAAAAGAAGAAACTGCATTAACTAACAGACAAAATAACCAGTTAGTATCATGATGACAGGATCAAATTCACACTTAACAATATTAATATTAAATATAAACAGAATCAATGCCCCAATTAAAAGAAACAGACTGACAAACTGAATAAACAGTCAAGACCCATCCATGTGCTGCATTCAGGAGACCCAGCTGACCTCCAAAGACACACATAAGCTCAAAATAAAATAAAGGGGGATGGATAAATATTTATCAAGCAAATGGAAAGCAAAAAAAAAAAAAAAAAAAAAAAAGGAGGGGTTGCAATTCTAGTCTCTGATGAAACAGATTTTAAACCAACAAAGATCAAAAGAATGGTAAAGGGATCAATGTAACAAGAAGAGCTAACTATCTTAAATATATATGCACCAAATACACAAGCAACAAGATTCATAAAACAAGTTCCTAGAGACCTACAAACAGACTTATACTGCCACACAATAATAGTGGGAGACTTTAAGAGCCCACTGTCAACATTAGACAGATCAATGAGACAGAAAATTACAAGTATATTAAGGACTTGAACTCAGCTCTGTGCCAACCAGACCTAAGAAACATCTACAGAACTCTCCACCCCAAATCAACAGAATATACATTCTTGTCAGACCCACGTAGTGCTTATTCTAAAACTGACTACATAATTGGAAGTAAAACACTCCTCAGCAAATGCAAAAGAATGGAAATCATAACAAACAGTCTCTCAGACCACAGTGCAATCAAATTACAACTCCAGATTTAAAAACTCACTCAAAACCACACAAATACATGGAAACTGAACAAGCTGCTCTGGAATGACTACTGAGCAAATAATGAAAAAAATGGGATCTTATTAAGCTAAAGACCTTCTGCACAGCAAAAGAAACTACCATCAGAGTGAACAGTCAACCTACAGAACGGGAGAATATTTTTGCAATGTATCCATCTCACAAAGGGCTGATATCCAGAATCTACAGGGAACTTAAACAAGTTTATAGGAAAAAAATAAACAGTTATATCAAAAAGTGGGCAAAGGATGTGAACAGACACTTCTCAAAAGAAGACATTTATCCAGCCAACAAATATGTGGAAAAAAGCTCATCATTACCGGTCATTAGGGAAATGAAAATCAAAAGCATAATGAGATACAATCTTACACCAGTTAGAATGGCAGTCATTAAAAAGTCAGGAAACAACAGATGCTGGGGAAGATGTGGAGAAATAAGAATGCTTTTACACTGTTGTTGAGAGTGTAAATTAATTCACCCATTGTAAAAGACAGTGTAGTGAATTCTCAATGATCTGGAATCAGAAATACAATTTGACCCAGCAATTCCATTACTGGATATATATCCAAATTATTATAAATCATTCTACTATAAAAACACATGCACATGTGTGTTTACTGCAGCACTGTTCACAATAGCAAAGACTTAGAACCAACTCAAATGCCCATCAGTGATAGACTGGATAAAGAAATTGTGGCACATATACACCATCGAGTACTTTGCAGCCATAAAAAATGATGTTTTCATATCTTTTGCAATGACATGGGTAAAGCTAGAAACCACTATTCTCAGCAAACTGACAAAAGAGCAGAAACCCAAACACTGCATGTTCTTACCCATAAGTGGGAGTTGAACAATGAGAACACATGGACACAGGGAGGTGAACATCACACACAGGGTCCTTTTGGTGCATGGGGGGCTAGGGGAGGGATAGCATTAAGAAAAATACCTAACAATGTACCCCAAAACCTAAAATGCAATAAAATAAAAAAATTTAAAAAAAGAAAAAGAAAAATACCTAACAAAAATGACAGGTATATGGGTGCAGGAAATCACCATGGCACATGCATATTTATGTAACAAACCTGCACATTCTACACATGTATCCCAGAACTTAAAGCATAATTTAAAAAAAAAAAAAGAGAGAGAGAGAGAAAGAGGGAAAGAGAGCTTAAGATTGTGGAGTTCTTGCTTAAAGATGCTAGGGACAGAATACTAGGCTTTTGTTCTCTGGAAAAAAAATGTGGTTCTCCTAAACTTGGAATATATAGTCTCATTATGGTAAGTATGTAACCTCAACATAACTCCCATAAAGCTAAATACTAGGGTGAGGACACATGACTAGACATACGTATGAGTTTCATAAAGTTTGTCATCAGTGATGTTACAGATTTCACAGACATATTATTACATGTATGCCACTGCAGTTGTGTTTGTAATGGTAAAGATACTATAATCAACAAGCTATACATCAGTTAAAAAAAAGTTAATTAAAATTTGATACATCCATAGTATGAAATATAATTTAGCGATTAAAAACATGAATTATAAGATGCCTACTTTCAGGTAAAGTGATATGCATTCCATTTTATTCCTCCTAAGGATCACACACACATATACACACATGCACACACACACACACACACACACACACACACACACACACACACACGGCACAATAGATATATAACTTTCCAGAAGACTAGAGGTTAGAGAAAATAAGGCAAACAGAAATTCTAAGGACTTCTGCTTTTAAGGAACTGTGACAGTCCTGAGGTTTTGTCTTGCCTGTTAAATATAATAACCAGAGTACTAAAGGAGTCTGACATGAAAATAGAAAAGATTCAAACGAACAAACAAAAAATACCCCAAGTGATAGGATTCATTGGAGGGGTTAAAAATGGCTGACTAGAGAATTTGAATACCAGTTCTCCTTAGAAAAAAGAACCAAAGTTACATGTATTTTTTGAACCCATACACCTCTCCAATCCTTCCACCTTTTGGAATTTCCAGTGTCTATTATTTCCTTGTTTGTGTCTAACTGTGCCCAATGTTTAGCTTCCACTTATAAGTTAGAACATGTAGTATTTGAAAGTTACAGGTTGTGTTGGCTAATATTGTCAACTTGATTGGATTGAAGAATGCAAAGGGTTGTTCTTGGGTGTGTCTGTGAAGTTGTTGTCAAAGATTAACATTTGAATCAGCGGACTGGGAGAGGCAGATCCACCCTCAGTGTGGCACAATCTAATCAGCTGCCAGCATGGCTAGAATAAAGCCGGCAGAAAAATGTGGAAGGACTAGACTGGCTGAATCTCTCGGTCTTCAACCTTCTCCCGGGCTGGATGCTTCCTGTCCTCAAACATTAGACTCCAAGTTCTTCAGCTTTTGGACTCTTGGATTTACATCAGTGGTTTTGCCAAGGCGTGTCAGGCCTTCAGCTACAGACTGAAGACTGTGCTCTTGGCTTCCCTGCTTTTCTGGTTTTGGGAGTTGGACTGGCTTTCTTGAAACTCAGCTTGCAGATGATCTGTTGCGGGACGTCACCTTGTAATGATGTGAGTCAATACTACTTACTAAACTCCCCTTTATATAGTCATATATCTTATTAGTTCTGTCTTTCTAGAGAACCCTGATTAATACAGATTTTTGTACCCGGAGTGGTTCTAGATGAACACAAGTTTAAGGTTGGAGGTTTCTGGTTGCTTTTGGGTTTTTTGGAGTTGGCTGCTTAATCTGATTAGACCCAAAAATGCCAAGGACTCTACTTTTAATAGTATGGAGAACACTGATAGTTTTTGGTGTGAACTGTATAGAGAGTTATGCGAAATAAATGTATTTTTTACTCCTGATTCACCACTCGTTAGAGGAAAGGAGTTTAGTGACAAACATAATACCTTTGACCATATGTGGAGAACCAAAGAATGAAATGAAGTTGGGATTGATTGCTCCTAAGTTCACTGGACAACGTGATGAAAGAAAACGAAGAACTCAGGGATTCAATCTCTTGGCTCCAGAAGCACATAATGAGCCCCAAATCTTGAAATATTGCCCTAAATGGGAGTCTTATCTTCTGCAGAGAAAAAGCTGAAATTTTGGAAAATCAGACACAAGCTCTTATCATGCAAGTGGCTGACCTGCAATAAAAGATGCATGCACAGCCTCATCAGGTGTCTACTGTAAAAGTAACAGCATTGATTGGAGAAAAATGGGACCCTGCAACTTGGAATGGGAGAACTCTTATGAAGCTGGGGGCACTGAGGGTGTAAACTCTGCTGAACCTTTTTTTCCCAGAAGAAACAGCTTCCCCATTCCCAGTGGTGGCAACATTCTCTTCCCAGTCCACACTGCCCTGCCATCAGCCTTTCCACTTTTGTCTGAGGACACTAACCCTGCACTGCCTGAGGCAACAGTGATCACCTCCCCTGAGGCAGTTGCAAAGCAAGACAATGTTGATTCTCCTCAAGACCCAACCCCAACACCCCAGTTTGGTTTTAGATCGATAACTAGGCTCAAGCCCCAGAAGGCCTCTAGAGGTGAGGTTCATAGTGTGACCCATGAGGAGGTGCATTACACTCCAAAATAATTGTTTGAGTTTTCTAATATATACAAGCAGAAATCTGGAGAACAGGCATGGGAATGGATATTAAGGGTGTGGGATAATGGTGGAAGGAACATAAAGTTGGAACAGGCTGAACTTATTGATTTTGGCCCACTAAGCAAGAATTCTGCATTTAGTGTGCAGCTCAGGAAGTTTAAAAATGTTTCAAGAGTTTATTTGCTGGTTAGCTGAAATATGGATCAAAGGATGGCCCGCTGTGAATGAGCTGGAGATGGCTAATCTCCCTTGGTTTAATGTAAGGGAGTGGATCCAAAGGCTTAGGGAGATTGGATGCTAGAGTGTATTAGTCACTTTAGACCCACTTGCCCAGCTGAGAGGGTCAAGAAGACATACTCCTTACCAATATTTTGTGAAATAGGTTTGTGAGGGCAGCACCTGCATCTTTGAAGATCTCTGTGATTGCACTTCTCTGTACGCCGAGCTTACATTGGGAACCACAGTCACTCAATTACAAAATTTAAGTGCAATTGAAACAATTGGATCCCAAGGCAGCAGCGGCCAAGTGGCAGAAATCACCTATCAAAGGCGAGGTGGGCATAGTTACCTTAATGAACAGCAGAAGCAAAACAGCAATCAGAATAGTCTGACTTGTGAAGAGCTTTGACACTGGCTAATTAATCACAATGTTCCTAGAGTGAAATTAATAGGAACCTCTACATTCTTTTTTGTTTTCTTAAATATATATTTTATTGCACTTTAGGTTCTGGGGTACATGTGAAGAACATGCAGGATTGTTGCATAGGTACATACATAGCAATGTGGTTTGCTGCCTCCATCCCCATTACCTATATCTGGCATTTCTCCCCATGTTATCCCTCCCCAACTCCCTACCTCCCACTTTCCCTCCCTTAGTCCCCACCAACGGACCTCAGTATGTGATGCTTCCTTCCCTGTGTCCATGCATTCTCATTGTTCAACACCCGCCTATGAGTGAGAACATGCGGTGTTTGATTTTCTATTCTTGTGTTAGTTTGCTGAGAATGATGGTTCTTACTTAATTTGTGTGAGCAGAAAACTTCCAGGTCTAGTGGACAAAAAACTAATTTGAATTATAAATATAGAGAATCACAGCCTCTCAATTTCCAGACTTTAACCATTTTACAGACCCAGAAACCCTTCAATGAAGGGGGGCCTGGGTCTTCTTAAGGAAGGACCCCATTACACTATCTACAATTTATGCTATTAATCTTTTTTTCCATTCTTCCTCAATGAAACCTCAATCCTTTTACTAGAGTAACTCTGCATTGGGGGGGAAAAAAAGATCAGATATCTTGGGGACTGCTGGATACAGGCTTTGAGTTGATGTTGATTCCAGGGAACCCAAAACATCATTGTGGTCCTCTGGTTTATATAGGGTCCTACATAAGGGCTTATGCAGGTCAGGTAATCAATGGAGTTTTAGCTCAGGTCTGACTTACAGTGAGCTCAGTGGGTCCTGGGACTCATCCTGTGGTTATTTCCCAAGTGCCAGAATGCATAATTGGCATAGACACGCTTAGCAGCTGGCAAAATCCCCACGTTGGCTCCCTGACTGGTAGAACGTTGGTTACTATGTTGGGAAAGGCCAAACGGAAGCCATTAGAGCTGCCACTACCTAGAAAAATAGTGAATCAAAAACAATATCACATCCCTGGAGAAATTGCAGAGATTATTGCCACCATCAAGGACTTGAAAGACTCAAGGGTGGTGATTCCCACCACCTCTCCATTCAACACTCCTATTTGGCCTGGGCAAAAGAAAAATGGATTTTGGAGAATGAAAATGAATTTTCATATGCTTAACCAATTGGTGACTCCAATTGCAGCTGCTATACCAGATGTGGTTTCATTTCTTGAGCAAATCAATGCATCTCTACCAAGAGATCTGGTATGCAGTCAATAAAGTTCAAAACAGGAGAAGGCTCTGAAAGAGGTCCAGGCTGCTGAGTAAGTTGCTCGCCACTTGGGCCATATGACTCAGCAGATACAATGGTGCTTGA